TGTCTTCTTCTGTAATTTGTACCTGGTAATATCCGGATTTAAGATCAAATTTAGAAAAGATCACAGCAGATTGTAATCTATCTAAAAGATCTTTGATGTTGGGAATTGGGTATCTGATCCAACTTAAAGTAAGATTAAGTGGCCGATAATCAATAACCAATCGAGGAATTCCTCGTTCTTTTTCAGCATTTTTGTTGACATAAAAAGCTCTGCAACTCCAGGGGGAGTAGCTAGTAGTGACAAGCTTCTTAGCCATTAAGGAGCTGATTTCAGTTTTACATAATTCCAAGTAGTCAGCTTTCATGTGGCTGGGACTAGCTTTAGTAGGAATCATGCTATCGGTAAATCCCTTTTCATAGGGTAAAGAAACAATATGCTTCTTTCTGGCCCAAAAAGCATTAGGAATCTCACTACAGATTTCCTTTAGAAAGTGTTGCCGTAGTGACTCAATTTTCTGTTGCTCAGTGGGTTGTACCAATCTTTGATTAATTGCTAAGGAGGATACCTCTTTTTGCAAATAATTCAGTTGCTTTTCCTTAAAGATAATGTTATCTTTAAGAGCATTGATATGCTTATTTACTGGTGGGGTCAAGAACTGGAAAGTAATTGACTGGCCATGTAAAGTAGAGCATATTCCATGAGAATCAATTTTCCCAATTGGCATAATCAAAGCTAAAAAGGGAGTGCCCAAAATAACTTGTTGTACCATGTTTCTGATGAGTAAGAAAGTAGAGGGTAGACAAATACCTTCTTTACAAATGAAAACATGATTAAGTTTATACTTAATCTGCATATTTCCTCCACTTGCACTGGTAAGACCTTGAGTGGTTTTCTCAAAATATTGAGTAGGAACCAATCCTTCCTGTATGCAGTTCATGTCTGCACCACTATCAACTAAGGCAATGGCATTAGTGATTGTGTACTCCTGATTAATCACCAAATTGATAGATATATACCATTTTTGGTAAGTAACTTGATTCAAGAGTTGAAGATAATTAGTACCTTCTGATTGAGGAACTTCATCATTGGATGATGAAGATGGAATTGCAGATTTTGCTTTTAAAAGAGTAATTTCCAAATCCATCTTAGTCTGACGAGACTTTAATTGACGAATTTCTTCTTTTAAAAGATTAATCTCCATTCGAAGATCAGGGAGATTAGCAGGACGAGGATTTTGTCCTTGGTGTTCTAATCGGCTTAGAACTTCTTTCATGCTGTAATGATTTTCTGCTCGCAGAAAATCTGGATTATCCATGTCCTCATTAGATCGTGCCAAAGCAGAACCTATTTCAAAGACTTTCATCTTGATTTGAGGATCCTGGATATGATCTATAAGATCCAATAAGGATTGTTGAGTCGAAGTCAAAATATTTAAGCTTAACCCATTCATCTCAACAATTGCCTTATAATAATCATTATGCGAAGGATTACAGGAACCTCTAGGGTTTTCAATCTCTGCTTCAGAGGAAGAAGAAGACTGTAATTCCATGACAACATCTCCGTAATCACTTGATGATTCTGTTTCAGAAGAACTAGTATTAAGTAACAATTTACTTAATTGAAGTCTCAGTTCCTCTTCTATTTGAAGACTTCCGAGCTTTTCCTTAGTTCTGCATTTGTTTGCATAGTGGCCAATACGTCCACATTTGAAACATTTAGCCTCGGCTTTGGGCTTTCCTTTACCCTTTGCCTTAGGAGTATATTTCCTTTTAGGCTTAGTATACTGTCTAGAATTATCCTTTTCCTTTGAATAATTCCTTCGTTTGGAATACTTCCTTTTATAAGGTTTTTCAACCTTATTTCTTTTCCTAGGTTTAGGATAAGATAAGGGAGTCTGGTAGGCAAATTGATCACAAAATTCGCCTACTTCCTTTCGACCAATTAATCTTTGGGATTTTAACTGGGATTGTAACTTCAGATCATTACAGAGAGCTAGACCTTCCTGGATTACAATGTTGACTAATCCACCATAGGTATAGTTTCTGTAAGGGATAGAGATACCATTGTTCATATCTCTAAGCTTTTTCCTGATTCTTTCAGCAAAGAAGGTTGGTAGACCATCTACAAATTTGGCTTTCCAGTGCTCATGATTTGCATCATTGAGTTGGAGAACCTTTGCCAAGAATACATCTTTATACCACCGGAAATGAGTTAAAGATGGACATCTTAGATTCTGTAGAAGTTCACGACTCCGTTCACTATTAGCACCTTCAGGGCCAACAAAATGTTGGATAATAGTGGTAATGAGTGTGTAAACCGCATCAGGAGCAGGGCCTGATTGTTGAGTAGCTTCATCTTTAACAATCTTGGTAGCAGAAAAGATTTTAGCTTTCTGAATGTCAGTGAGAACATTATCCCACCATCCTTTAAGGATTCCTGTAAAACCAGCAACGACAAACTTAGCAATGGTTGGGTCAGTATTGTTGTTGATTTTACAAACTTGGCTATACATCAATATTTGATGAATAACCTCGTAAATCTGATAATCAGATTTGCCATCTATGTTCCATTCATAAATGGTCTTGCCATGAAAAGATTTCTGTGTATGAAAATAATCTTCTTCATACAAGATATCTTGAGGTGTGGGTCTGGGATAATAATATCGACTCGGAGCAGGGGCTGTATTAGAGTGTATATTCTTATCATAGACAATTCTGTTGAACTCAGGTATCTGAGTAAAATCATTTTGGAATACCTCAATATGAGGTAACACATTCTCAGAATCAGAACCAATTTCAGATTCATCATGGGATAAAGTCTGAATTTTGAGTCCTTGAATTTTCTGAGTAAGAAGAGTAAGAAATTCTTCATTCTTCTTAGGATGTGTCAGATTGAAGCCTTGAACTTCAATTGCAGGTTTCACCAATGCTTTGGATAAGGAAGCTTCTGGAGGAGAAGTTTTCACAGAAATACACTTAGTATTAATTGTATTTAATACCGTGTCTATTCCCGTTTCAATTCTCCCAAGCTGGGACCCTATCGTTTGTAAGCAAACATTAGTATAATTGTTCTGCCTGTAAACCTGAGTAATGTCCTTTTTAGTAGCATTACAGGATGGATCAATTATTCTAGGTTGGCTATAAGCCTTGGTTTCCACTTTAGAACCACTGTCAGGGTCAATTCTTTTCAGAATTAAATGTTCAGGGGGAGGATGGACAGAGTGGAAAACCTTATCTTCAGATGTGGTCCATGGTTTGAGAAAATCATCCAATATGTTGATATTAACAAGAGAATGATTGGTCATGTAGAACCAAGAAACAAAAGGTATAACCATTTTGTGTTCTTGTAGAAAGTCATAAAATTGGGTTTTAAAAAGTTGTAATTGATTTTGGTCAAAACTTTTGAAATACCAATTTCTGAATTCTTTATATTGATCCTGTTGAAATTCAGTATTAATGGCCATTCTATCAGGGACAAAATCCATTAAAACTAATATTCATGAGGGTCATTGATGTCTGTGGGATCTTCAAACTGATCCTTGACAGATTCATTTCCGATTCCCATTTCAGATGGAGTTGGGCTGAATTCAATCCCAAATTGGCGACGAGACATACCTATTGGTGCTTTCTCGTAGACTCCTCTTGGAATTTGATTCGGAGATTGTTGTATTCCTTTCAGCTTGAGCTTGGAATCAACTGCTTCAGGGAGTCCTTCCTTACGGTAATCTGACGAGATCGAATGTCGAGAAGGAGGACAAGAAACATGATAAGGAAGATGACTTCCTTTAGATGATGTAGATCTAGATAGATCTATGGATTTTCTGAAATTCAGAAAAACATCACCATCTTGGTCCTGAATAACACAGTCTAAGCTATGATTAGCAATTGGCTGTGCTGGAACGACATTAGAAATCGTCCAGTGTTCAGGAAATGTTATCTCACTCCAAGGAATCATCCTTTTTGTGGCAACATTTGACGTGTACATGTTGGTATCCCATAACGCTGTTACGCCTTTAGAGTCTTTGCGTATGGCATTGGGACACATAGTATCAAGTACTTTGTAATGGATGCGATAAATAACACTTATCACTTCTGATCCAGGTAAGTAATCATATCCATAAGTCTGAACCCGAAGACTAACTGCCTCATGGATATTTTTATCTGTTAAAGATAAATTCAGACTAGGATAGACATTAAAATAAACCGGTCCATGACATAGACTGGTTTCCAGTGCACCCATCAAAAAAGAGTGAAATTTCAGACATCGAGCATCCCTAAGGTTTGCTTGAATACAGGCATCCATACCTAACAAGGTTAAAGGTTTAAAAGCAATTTGAATTAAACCTATATGGATGTATTTATATTTATGCATGTGCCTCTGAAGGTCACGGGAAGACAATAACTTAATTATTGTATCCTTAGTGCTTAATTGCATGGTCTGTTCCATGGTCTTAATAGTCCATAGATCAGCTAAATTAAACATTCCGATTTTGTAAATGCTTTTTGCACTTACTGGAGGGATAGTCCATCTGTTCAATTTATTTTGAACATTGGTCCATTCCACTACTTCAGTATTTTTTACCAGTTCTGAGTCCTGGTTGTCCTGTAGTCCTGAAGAAGAGGACGAAGATGGTTGTAACATGTCTGTTAATTATTGTTAATGCTTTAAGGTCTGAGCAGTATAAATATTATTATATTATGTAGTGAACAGTAAGTTACTATTCTGTCGTCGTTCTGCTTAAGAGAGATTCTATTATTCGTCTGTCAACGATTTACTGGAAACAATACCCTGTGTAGCAATTTAATGCAAAAACGGGTTAAACATTCCAACGCGACTTTTGGACGACCCATAATTGAATCTGGGATAAACATAATTCAGACAGAATAATAGTCATATTGTTCAGTACATAATTACGATAATAATAGTCAGATTTTGAAGCGATTTGAATTACTAATATTGGGAAGGAACCGAAGCAAACATTTACCATCATGTAAAGAAAGGTCAAATCGAATCAAAGCACACGGATCGAGGACGTGGCACGAAATTTCACATCCCGCCTAAACCCTGTCGTTTTTTTTCCGTCCGTGAATTTTCAATTTCCCCAATATTTATTATCAGCCCCTTTCAAAGCCCAATCTCCTCGCATCTCTCACAAACACCCGCGCGCGCATAAACCCTAATACGTTCATCGAAGCGGTAGGAAATCATCGATTCTTTATCTGATTCTCGCCCTCTTCGATCAGTTCACACAGTATCAGTTACTAATTCGACAGTCTTTGCAGGAATCGCCATGAAAGGCCGTAAATCTAAGACCGAGTCAAAGAAATCAGACAGCAAGTGAGTCTAATTTTTTTAACTATTTTGATGATTCTCTCTCTTAGTTTTGTTTTTATCAAAGAAAAAACCCTTAAAATCATAGCGGTGCAGATCTGAGATCGATCTTGTTGTCTCTCATTCTTCGTATCTCTATGTCTATATATTTCATGTACGTGAATGTATATTTGTATACATGTGTATATGTATATGTCCTCTAATACCCGTTTCTGTTTATTGTGATAGGCTTTCTGTGAAGACACGCCCTACCAAATCATCCAAGGGAAAGGCAGCGGTGGACCCAAACAAACCCAAGAGGCCAGCCACTGCTTTCTTTGTTTTCATGTATAAATCTAATCTATGTTTCATTCGAATTTTCTCTTTAATACAGTATACAGTATTTAATTTTCTTCTCTAATCTGATTAGAGGCCCATGCCTTTTAGTGTGTGTTGATGTCATAATCCATGTTTAGTTGGAACCATGGTTCGATGTGACGTCGGTTTGTAATCATTTTTCAACACACACGTCCATGAATCGACACCTCCAAGAATCGGTTGGTAGACTGCGACCGCCTCGCAAGGGATACTTTTACCGATAGTGCGATTGCATTGGAATATAATTGCCACAAATGATAAGGCCCAAGAATCAATTAAAAGATTTTAGGAAAATATCTTATTCACGGTAGGTGGTACCTATCATTTTAATAGACCCATAATTAGACTATAGACCTTTTTCTTATTAGATTAAGATTTTCCATAGACCTCAGTCTTAGAATGCTTAAAGCAAACGATTTCTTTTGGCTTAATTCTATCACTGCTAGGGTGTAGTTGATCCTATAGACTCGGTTATGAACACCAAGCTCTATACCTGAACATAAAGTCTCAATTGTAGCTCTTTGCTTTAAGAAATTTCTGTCTAGCTTGATGATTTTCAATCCAGATTGGACCAAGTTTCATAAAGTTCTATTCAATCTCGTGAAAAAACCAGTTTCAATGAAGATTAGGCCTGCCCTGTAGTGCCCCTTAGTTGTAAACTAATTGTGCACAAACACCACTTCCTCCTTCAAAAGCCCAGTGAAAAGCATACACAGTTGAAAGAAAGGATCAAATTCACTTTTAATGGGGTATATTACTTGAATCAAACACCATTCACCTACAACATTTTAGACTGCAGCACAAATTATTTAATTTTTTCTTGGGGGAAATTTTGTTCTATCTGTTTAGGTTTATCTTTATATTTTGTTAATTATTCATATCGTCATCTTCTGTCATTGAAGGGAAGAGTTCAGAAAGCAGTTCAAAGAAAAGAATCCCAACAACAAATCAGTTCCCGTTGTAAGTAATTTCAGATTTATATATATATATATATATATATGTCTTCTTTGTATAGTTTGTTGTGAGTCTCATCCCTGTGTAATCAGTTTTATTTTCTCTTAGCTTAGATTTTGTTGTATTTATTTATTTTTAATTTTTTGGAAAATAGGTAGGCAAAGCTGGTGGTGCCAAATGGAAGTCAATGTCTGATGCTGTAAGTAATGAAAAATAGAGTAATTCTATTATGATTATGATTATTGTCTATGCCCTTTTCATATGCTTATAAAGTAAACAAACTATCAATCAATTTGTTAATTGAGATTATATTAACAAAATTTAGGAGAAAGCACCCCATGTATCCAAGGCAAACAAGCGGAAGAAGGATTACGAAAAGAACATGGACGCCTATAACAAGAAATTGGTGATTTATTATTTGTTTTGCAATGTTGGGTGTTATTGTTTTTGTTTCATTATGAGTTGTGGTGGTTATGATGGTGTTTAATTTATACCCTTTTAAATAAAATTAGGCTCAAGGTACAAATGCATCTGAGGATGAAAATGAGGAGTCTGACAAGTCCAGGTCTGAAGCCAATGATGAGGATGATGAAAGATCGGAGGGCAGTGGAGAGGTTTGTGTGTCCCCCCCCCCCCCCCCCCCCGGCGGAGTATATTTTCAGATAATTGTCATTTATATTTCTTTGCTATTTTTTGAGATTTTGAAAACGGTTTTCTAAATAACAAACCAAGTAAGACACTACTTTCTTAAGTTTTTAGAATCAAGAAATGGAAATTTATGTTGTGTTTGGTTGCATGAATTTGGTGCCTTGAAATTGAAATTGGGAAAGAAAAAAAAAAAATTGAACTAAAATTTTTCCGGTATCAGTTTAAACTATTTTGACACATATTTCATATGATCGAACATATGATTTATTTTGTTGAAAATTATGTTTTTGTTTATGCAGGTGGAAGATAGCGAGTAGGATTCAGTATAATTGGCGGGCACTTTTGGTGTTTGGTGGCTTCTAATCCCTTGCTCTTGTTACTGCATTTTGATGGATTCTGGTGACAAGTATGGGCACTTTTGGGTTAGGTGGCTTCTATGTTAATCCCTTGCTCTTGTTACTGCATTTTGATGGATTCTGGTGACAAGTGTATTTGCCCCTGCCCTTTCATTTTGTTTTGCCCGCCAATTTTATGGTATAGTTGGCAGAATTTGTGGAGCAAGCTAACCTTTCACTTGGTTTGAATGAAGCTCTTGGATTGGGGGAACGAAAAAAAGAGTTCTTGTATGCTTTTTGGTACTATTCCTTAAAAGGCCTTCTGCAATGGGTTTGTAGTCGTTGAATGAGTTAAAAGTCACGGGGGAAAATTATTGCAATCAGTACAAAGTCATAGGAAAATAATTGCTTGAATTTACTATTCATTTCTTCTCTTTTCTTTCTGAAAATATCTGTAGGACTTCTGAAGTTAACTTCATTATGATACGGACTTCTGAAGTTAATTTCATTACGATACCTGATAAAATGGATTTCAGAATTCGAATGTAAAGTTATCTCTTGAGTGACTAACTCGCCAATTAAGGATTCACAATATTGCAATCTTATTATGATCCATCTGATTAGGTCACAATGTAAGCATATTTTGATTCATTAAAATGATGTTTTAAATGCAAAAATTAAGTACTACACGTATTTGATTTCGACTCATCTACTTCTTTCAATCTAAATAATAGAATTAAATTTACTTTTGAAAGTTTTTTTAGTATTCTTTTTATAAATAGAATGTTTTTGATAATTCATTTTTTTGTTTCGTTTAACACCCTTCCAAAGAATTCAATTCTTTCTTTTAAAACTCTTAGAACTATAGAAGACTTATTTTTTCAATTGACTAATTTGATTTTCGAGTTCCTTAAAAATGGGTTCAAAAAAGGAAGGTTTATGCATATGTAAAGGACTTTCTCGCAAAGTCTTTTTATAGAAGTAAGAAAATATTACTTTTGAAACCATTTTTTAAGAAGTTAAATTTTTTTAAGGATAAATTTGTTATTTTATTAATTTGTCTATTTACTTTTCATAAATTGACAAGATCGTCTTATATTTTTTCTTGATCCCCCGTTTCACCACCGTGACCTTACAACACCATTGCCACTGCCACCATCCACCTCCATCATCAACACCCTTCACTGCCGCCGCCACCACCACCACCATCGTGACCTTCCACCACTTCCACCATCACCTTCCCACTATAACTGCCACCAACCACCATTACATTCCACCATTACCACCGTCACCACCTTCCACCACCAGTGTCACATGACATTCTACCACAATCATCGCCATCACCACCTTCCAGGCTTCCACCACTACCATCACCGCTGCGGCCACCGTCAACTGTGACCTTCCACCACTCTCACTACCGCCGACATCGTCACATTCCCCACCACCACCATCACAATTGCTTTCTGCCACCACCACCGGCAACATTGCCATTGTCTTCACTACCCTTCACATTTTTTTTATTGAAGGGTTGAAATAATTGTTAAGGATAAAGGATATTATTATCAAGAAACAAATAATCTAAAATTTAAAAGTAAATTTAAGAAATGCGTTCACCAAAAGTCTTTTTCTTATGAATTCCTTCCAATAACGGACTTTTAATATGAGAAAGCTCCCCCAAACGGAGCCTAGGATTTGTAGTTATTTTTGTTTCTTAACAATTTTAATATGAGGGTAATCTCATTACATGGGAGAGGGGCATACTCAAAGAAGATATTAGAGAAACTTAATATAATCTTCTTTTATATCTTTCATATAACGCTCCTAGATGAAACCGCAACATCATCACAAATAACTCTTTGAGCATCTCCCTTAAAGATTCCACAATAAATAGTCTTTGCTAAGCAGAACATGGCTGCCCAGAGAACCCACGCCTTCTCATTTCACACCACGAAAACCCTAGCCGCTTCTCCTAACCGCTAACAGAGAGCACCAAGTCGACCACCATGAGTAGGACACTATTGAAGATCGAGGAAAATTTTCTGAGTGTTGTTTTAAATTCATCTGAAAATTCCGACTGACAATTCTAGCAACAATGTAACAAAAAAATGGTGAAGTGCAAAAAAACAAATAAAAACCCTTGTAGTTTGAAAAGTGTGCAAAGAACACTCTTCATGTTCAAATTTCAATACCCAATTTCATTATTTCTCTCTATGAATACTTTATTTATATATTTTTTCTCTCTCTATAATTTCTGTTTTTATGTATATTTTTCTTCTCATTCTCTGTCTCTCTCTAACGGCTCTCTCCCACATATATGAATTCTATTTCTTCAATACTAATAATAATAAATAATAAATAAATTAAATTTATCTTTCTTAAAAAATTCTACTGATATCCTAGTGTGTATCAGAGGCTTACTGCATATCCATGTGTGAGAAGTTGTGTTGTGTGTATATATACAATAATTTTTTTTTTTTTTTTTTTAGCAATAATAATATTTTCTAAAACATAAAAGTGATTTACATATTATGTTAGTAATTTATTTTCCAATATTCACGATATCAATTAATTAAATATTAATTTAACCAAAAAAAGGAATAAAATTAAATAACAATAAGACGGATATATGTACACCTAAATGTTTATACCTATTATGTACTCTTTAAAGAATGAAAATTTTTGTTAAGCATTTAGGGTATGTTTGGTGCACAGGAATGGAATGCAAGTAAGAATGGAATGGAAATGATGTAGGAATGGAATGATGATTCTTATTCCACTATTTGGCCGCAAACAGAGAATGATGCAGTAATGGAATGACCATTCCCATTCCCATGTTTGGTCAGACTAATTAATAAGCTGGAATGGAATAACTTTTAAATTAATTTCTCCAAAATACACTTACTTATAATATATCAATTATATAAACGAAATGACATATTTTATTATTTTAAAATGGAATAAAATATAACTAGCTTATACCAACTTATGCATTTTTGTAAAATCTATGAAAATTATAATTATCTTACAAAATGTAAAAAGATATTGAGTTCAAGAAAATCTATTAAAAATTTATGAAAAGACTAACAATTTGTTGTGAACCCGAGACCTCACAAATAATTGATTTTATTTATTGTGAACCCATCGTATTATAGCCCTAAAAAATAATCACTTTTTTATAAGTAATGAAATTTGTAGCTATTTTGAAAGGCTTTGAAAGAGCAGTTACCTTTTTTCAAAGAAATATACTAGGCACTAATATAACACAAAACTAAACTTCTTGTTGTCTAAACTTAACTAGTATTCTATAAACATTATATTAAAGGAAAAAGACATATCAAATATTGTACAATTGCACTTTAAAATGTGGGTGTTGATAAAAAATGTTTAGCAATAGTTTTTATTAGAAAATAGAAATTATGGCCGCATTTAACAATAAAAAATTTAGTAGAAGATCCTTAAACAATAAATATATCATTGATAACTAAAATGCATAAGTTGGGAGTCGGCAATATTTTTAAATAGCTGCTAAACAAAATGTCCTCCTGGCAATTCAATATTGCACAAACTGTCAAACACCACAAGCATGCATCAAAAACTAGATTCAAGCTTGGGTTAGAGATCAAGTCTTAACAAGGAGGTACATTTTTTGGAACATAAGACCAAATTAATGGCATTTGTAGATTCAAAAGTGTAGCACTACCAAACACCACAAGCATGAATCCGAAACAAGGAACCATAGTTTACTTAACACCATAAAACTACTTAGTTCATCCAAAAACTATATCCAAAAGTCTAAGTAGCATTTATAGAACTACAAATAAGTACATGGAACACAAACACATACTAACATTTCAAGTAACGTTACATTTCTTAAAGTGCAACTCAAAATCTAAAATGAGATAAGAAAACACAAGTTTAAAAAAAAATAATTTTTCATGTCCCTTGTCTCCTCACCCTCCATTTATCAAACATATGAGTAGCTAAGTTATCTCTCTAAGTACTCCATTCATTTGATGTTTCGATCGTCGTAATAGTTTCTCCATGTGCTTCAGTTACCATTTGTTGCTAAGCTTCTAAACTTTCTTCTAATGGGTCTATCGGCATCTCTTGTCTTATAAGAGTAAGTAAAAGACAATAGGCTAAAATAACCCAAAATTGTATCTTAATTCGATAAAATGAGGGACTCCTTAGAATTGCCCAACGTAACTTAAGAAGTCCAAAACATCTCTCTATCACATTTCTAATTGCTGAATGCTTTATGTTGACAAATTCATGAGGGGTGGTAGGTTGGTGTCCCTCCCTCCAATCATTTAAATGATACCATTGTCCTCTATATGGTGCAAGAAATCATTGACAATTTGTATATCCAACATCAACATGATAGTAGTAACCTTTATAAACTAAAGTATGAATATTGTTGCATAAACAAGTTCCTTACCTTGAGGGACATTGAATCCATTTCTCTTATCCATTTCCTCTCGAAGTGTGATACCCCCATATTTCCACGTGTGGGTTGGCCAGGCTGTAACAACCCTGGATTTTTCAACCCAGTGCGTTCTGTGATGACCTGAACTGGATCCAAGATGCGAAAGCAAAAGAAGCGAGACAACGGTCTTCCAAGGCACAACACACCTCTAAGACACTTTGATGACCTTCCATGGGGTCATGGAACACAATGAACCAAGAAATGAAGCAAAAATGCCTAACCCGAAAAGAAATAAACCAAAGGCAAAATGGTTATTTCACACTGAAATGGGTGCCACCGTGCACACCATTGGAAAGACAACGAAAAATGAACGAAGTTAGACTCAAGAATCATCTGATTCGGAGTCCGGACGGAAAGGTTATGAAATAAAACAAGGTGGCCTCCTCCGTTTAGAGTTACCACGATTGTATCTCACTAGAACTGGAATAACTCTCACTATAGGTGGAGTTTTGATGAGTAGTTGATACCATTGGAAAGCTAACTTCAAGCTCTTGAAGTTAGGCTCAAGAAAGACCAGATTTGAATCAGAAATGAAGGAGATAAGTCCCTCTGAGGTCGGCGCAAGGAAACTGTCTAAGAAAACTGGAAGGAGAAGGTCCCAGGGAGAATCGGTCGACCGAAATGCAACCATCAGCCGGCCAAAACTCAACCGTCGGTCGGCCGAACCCCAATCATCAGTCGGCCGAAATAAGGTTTTTCAATAAAAGCCTACTGGAATGGACCCTCGAACATGTGTCAGCCGACCGATGGAGTTCCATTAGCCGACCGATGCCTCTGCTGCTGCTATGGAAAGCTGCTGCAATGGTGAAAATGGTGCTAGGTTCATCTCTATGGTTCTACATGCATCCTACATGATCCGAACAAGTTTCAAAACACTTTCTAGGCTTGTTTAAACATCTAAAACAAGCCAAAATAAGGA